TACAAGCTGTTTAGATTGTCAAAAAGCCTGTGTTTTTAGGGTTAATAACAAAGTTTGTGTACTCAGACCAGTAATATTTGGGGTCACAAGTTTTTGCCATGAATATTTTGTGGGTCAGAAGATAAAATGTTTGGGAACCACTGGTCTAATGGGTTAATGGTTCAGTTACTGCTTGGATGAAGTGTGGTGGATGATGCTCAGCTTCTACCACACTAAATTTTATCTGAATACCTATAAAATGAATGAGTTATAGCCATTTTCGTGTTGGTTAATGTAGCTCTAAATGTTAATTTGTTATAGCTGTGTGTTCRGCAACTACCTCCTGAAAGTTTCATTAAAATCTATCCAAYGATTTATGGGATATTTTGCTAACAGACAAATRAAGATGKAACAAATGGCTCRTTGAAGGGAACTGTAACTTGACAAAACGTTTGTCATTGAGTCATTCGATTTTGAATGAGCTACATCATCACGTGTATGTGATGACGTAATCAGGTCACACGGGTGTGTGACTCCATCAGTTAAACTTTATGTTTTAGTGCAACCATTTAGTGTTTGGATTAAGTGTTGGGAATGACTCCCAGCTACTACCACACAAMATTATAGCCCAAAATGCACAAAGTTGTAGCCATTTTTTGTGTTTGCTTCAGTTGCTCAGCTGTGGCAGCCGTCTTGAATGATGTCAACTCCAGAAGTTATTCAGTTATAGATGAACAGCCAGTGATTATTTCCTGAGAGTTTCGTTAAAATCAGTGCAAWGGTTCGTGAAATATTTTGCTTGCACTACAGACAAACAAAAACCCAGGCAAAAACAAAATCCGTTTTTGGTTGCCTCCTCTTTCCACCACTGCTACAACGAAATGGAATACATACCCGGCACGAAAAGGAGATTTATCCACAAAGTGGTCACCAAATATTGAGGATTTCATTCCTTTTCCTCATGTATTTTTCATACCCATACCAGACTGACCTTCACACTTTCTTATTTCTTGCTGCCACCCATTTTGCTCACACTGTACCTCATCATACACCCCTTTAAATGCTCCTTTATTTGCACTTCCGCCCTCCTGCTCTTCTTTCCATGTCATTCAATTTCCCCCGTCCACTCGCCCTTCACTTCTCTCCCTGCAGCTCGTCCTTGTGCTCTCCGGGGGTCTGTRGGAGCGATAATGAAGCGGATAGTTAACAGATATTAGCTCATTGGTGGTGGATTCATTACAGAGCCATGGCTTATGGTGATTATTTACCCATAAATGCGGAAGAGGGGGTGAGGTGGGGGCACAGGATCATGCTCTGTACCAGCAGCTCCAGGCATTTTTTCTGAAGTCACACTGTGTCCCTTCTCCTGACACAAACTCTCCTCTTCTCATTTGCCTTAGCACCTCTCCTTTCACATTCTGTGCCCTCTTCCTGCTCTCCCCTCCATTTTTTCTCACTTTCCTTGTCATTAGACACCCACAATACATGTTCACTTTCTTTCCTTCTCTATCTCTTCTCACCGCCCCCATACCCCCAGTGGTAATTATGAAAAAATCTGTAATAGTGCTCAGAGGAGCTGATAATACCTTTAGCTTAATTAAAGACATTTATGGGATGTAAAGATGTGCAGCCAGGGGTTTTTGTGTACCCACGTCAACCCCTAACTCCTCATGTCTTTGATTTTTCATCTCTTCATTTCTCTGCTCTCTGTTTGAGTTATCTTTTTCTCTGTTTCACACATTATTACACGTGACATGGCTCTTTGTCTTGTTTTATTTTTCTTTTTTCCAAGGGTTAAAAGTTATTTATGCCTTTAATTGTCCAGAAGTTTTTTTTATCATAATGTTCGACTTTCTGTGATGTTTCAACGTTGCTTTGCTGCTACATTTGTCTTAAATAGRTTTAAAAGAAGGTTTATTACACAAATCTGACAAAAAAAATTATGCAAACACTCATTAAAAGTCATCATTTCATCATCATGAAAATGTAAGTCTTTTTAACTGCCAGTACCTCATAACACTAGTATCTCATGTGCGCTAAAAGAGGCAGCTCTCATCAGATTAACCAACTCGCAGCACAATTTGAATAAAAAAAACATCTTGGGAGCTCAGTAATTGTAAATTTCTTACTGTCATTATTGCACTACCATCTGTATGCTATTTTCCACCACATTGCCATCTGCACATAGCTTTTTAATTGCACTGCCATCTGTAGATTGGGTTCTAGTTGTTCAGATTTTGTAAAAATGAAATATTGTATCCCGTGCGCATTATTTAATGCCTTTTGCTCACATTGCAGCCAGGAAGTTGGTTTCAGGAGCCATTCTGGAATCATTAATGGGAAACAAAGTGAGTTAAAGGGTTTTAAAAAAAAAGAAATTATCAACAATTAAGTGAGTTTTACAATAAAACTAAAGAAAYTGAAATTACTGAGAAATAATAGTGTGAAGTCTGAGTTCTGAATAACTTTGCTAAAACGGATTGAAGCTAAAACTGAGTTGTTAAAGTTGAAACAAACAAAACACTAACTAAAAGCTAAACAAGCAAAACACAAACTAAAGATGAGTTAAACGAAACAAAATGCTTGCTAAAGCAAAAAACATCAGCTAAAAGTAGCTAAAAGCTAAAGTACTCTGTTAAGAGAATTGGCCTCCATACTTTTTTGTTTTTAAGCAGTCATGAGGCACAGTGGCAATGCAGCTGCTGCTGATAATAGCTTACCAAAGAGAGAGTGAGATGAAGCCACCAACTTTGTTTATCTGGGTCGTGAGAGGTGAAACGGCTAAAGCCTTATTCCATGCCTACATCTCCCAGAATGCCTTGCWGTTCTGGAGTTCAATGAAATTATCAACATTTTCAGTTTATACTGATCACATGTTTATTATGATATAAACTGTTATTGAATTATTGACCATAGCCCTAATGCAAAAATGGCAAAACTATACTGGAAAGTCRAAAACAATGATCACAGATGGGAATACTGATTCATTATTAATATTTACACAATTAAAGAATTCTTTAGAACAAACCAATTGTAGCTCACAGGTAATGACACAGAACAAAGAAAAACCATCTTAAAGGAAGTTTAATGGTCAGATGAGACATTCAGTGAGTTGTTTGGCCTCAATGAAAAGAGGCAAGTTAGGAAGAATGAAGGTGACGCTGTCAACCACAAGAAACCTGAAAKCRTGTCACCACTGTTAGGAGCTGCGGYGGTTCTGCAGCTGTGGAAATTGAAAAAAATTGGAAATAGTTGTGTTTCTGGACAGCAGTTTCAATGACAGAAGTCACAGATGGTTCAGAAATGATTTAAAGCAGATTTTGAAACATCTTTCCCTCCCTCTACCTTTTGGAAAATATGCAAACGGTTGACCAATAAATTTGACAGGTCTTTGCCAATATCTCTAAGAAAAGTGGTTAAAAATWCAGATATTCAAAAATAAGGTTTTTGCTGGCCTCTGAAAACATCATGGTCAAAGTGCAGCCAGGTTAAAAACACTCCGTTGAATGTTATGTGGATGTAATTTTTCACTTTATGTGAAATTTAATTTACAAAAGCCCACTGGAACAAATTGGAACTTGTGCAGATTAGTGCTAATTTTTATTCTTCCTTCAGCTCCAAATGTATTCTGCATTTGCTCCCATGCCTGTAATGATTGTATGTAAATGTAATACTGGGTGTGTATTATCAGGCTCGTGCACGCATACACATGACTGGAATAATGTCAGGCTTTTCCTGCTGATTATAGATGTGTTTCTGTGCCTCACGTCCTGTTGATGTAAGATGTTCTGCAGAACTTGTTAACATGTCAGTCAGGAACCCCAGTAGGATCCAGAAAAATATGTTGTGCTCTGAGGAGAAACTTAGAAAGGTCACGGTGTTAGAGAGAAAACTGCTGCTCTGAATTTTTTTTTCTTTTCGATAAATGTGTGATGGAGTCTGAGTTCATCCTTTTTCTTATTTTTTCCTGTGCAGCAAATTCCTCTCATGTCAAAATCCCAGGTATGTTTCCTCCAGAAATATATTTGAAACTACTTTTCATACCTTTAAACTTGAAATATTTATGTATCAGCCACATAAAATATGCATAAAAATGAGTCATGTATCAAGAGCGATCATTTATATCCCAGTATATCATTTTTAATCATGTTTACAGCTGCGTTTCATCAAGTTAGGGATGAGTTTAAAGACAGCTTGTTTTCTTGTAATTTATGTTCTTGTGCCATCAGCCACATGTTGGGTTTTAACTCTGGCTTGGAGACAGCAATGAAACAGTTTCAAAAGAAATTTGATTTGTTTTTACATGTAAGCTAATTATTTTAGTTTTACATATCTCAACAGGAAGCTCTTAATGTTAGATTCAGTTGTATAAAAATCGGGTTATTCCAAAAAATATGATTTTAGTGCAAAAGTTATGTTTAAAAATGATTTATTGACTTAATTTAAGCTGAGTTTAATTCCTTATATTTCAAAATTAAGAGTCAAGCTTTAAACATTTAAACAGTGTTGAACATGGTTCTGCTAATCAGCTTACAACTAACAGTGGAACTAAATATTCCGTCAGCAGACCAATTTGCTTCTGCTAAATTAGGTTTGCCAGACTTTAGGTTTGCTAACAGCTAACTAAAAAAACTAACATCAACAGGTTTGTGTCAGTCCCACCAGTCTGTGGTGGGATAATCATCTTCATCTTCACCTGGAAGACGCTATTAGCTGRTGTTAGTTTCAGGATTTTTTTTCTTTTTTTGTGTTAGCTTCCGCCAACCTTGCTTTTTACATGTTTAGCAATTTAGCATTAGCAAAGCTATATTTTTAGTTAGCAGTTTATGTGACAGCAAAGCTAACTTTTTAGTCAACAATGCCCACCACTGCACTTAAATCCCAAAAACAACTTTCAGTCAGTTGGTTCAAGTGTTTTTGACAATTAAATTAAATGAGAAAACATAAGTTTGTCCCATGCTCCCGGAGTACCACCCACAGGAGTCCCCAAGGGACACGGTTGAACGCCCTCTCCAAGTCAACAAAACACGTGTTGACTGGTTGAGCAAACTTGCACAAACCCTCCAGGACCCTGCTGAGGGTGTAGAGCTGGTCCACTGTTTCACAACCAGGACGAAAACCACACTGCTGTTCCTGAATCTGAGATTTGACTATCCGACGGACCCTCCTCTCCAGGACCCCTGAATAAACCTTACCAGGGAGGCTCAGAGGTGTGATCCCCCTATAGTTGGAACACACTCTTCTGTCTCTCTTTTTAAATAGGGGGGTCACCACCCCGGTCTGCAAGTCCAGGGGAACTGCCCCAGATGTCCACGCAATACTGTAGAGTCGCGTCAACCAACACAACCAGGTCCCTGTACAACTGGTGTCAGAGCTTGATCTACTTTGCTGGTAGTGAGTCAAGCTCGTTTCCAGTAAGAGTTGGACTCCGACAAGGTGCCCTTTGTCACTGATTCTGTTCATAACTTTTGTGGACAGAATTTCTAGGCACAGCCAAGGTGTTGAGGGGATGGATTGCATCTCTGCTTTTTGCAGATGATGTGGTCATGTTGGTTTCATCAGATCACGATCTCCAGCATTCGCTGGAGCGGTTCGCAGAGTGTGAAGCAGCCAGGATGAGGATCAGTGCCTCCAAATCCGAGACCATTGTCTTGAGCTGGAAAAGGGTAGGGTGCCTTCTCTGAGGACGTCCTGCCCCAAGTGGAGGAGTTAAAGGGTGTATTCACACCTGACAATTTGCTCCGCTTTAAACGAACCAGAGTTCGTTTCCAGCGTTGGTCCGGACTTTTTGTGCAGGTGTGAATACACTCATGCAAACTCTGGTGCGGATCAAACCGGACCGAGACCTGCTTTTTGAGGTGGTCTCGGTTTGCTTCCAAATGAACTCTGGTGCGGTTCGCTTCAGTTCGCTTCTGGTGTGAATACAAACTGGAACCGAACCAACTGCATAGAACATGCGCCTTTTTGGACTTCACAGGCCACCGTTGCTGAGCTAAATAAACTGAAATCATACCTGTTTCTTCGTCTCCTGCTTAGCAGCTCTGCTGGCAGCAGATAGTGGGTCAGAACTTGTCTCCTTTGGGTCACGGGACACATTTACTGATGTCGCTCCAAAATTAGAATTTCATCGCGAAACCACCATTAAATTAGCTGCTTCTGACATTTTAAATGCCATTGCAGCTGTACTAACAGCATAAATGTGCACATCAGAACAGCAGCACACAGGACTTCCATGTTTTTTTCTGGGTCTGTGTGCTCAGTCCCGCCCCGTCCTTTCTGTCCAGTGGGAACAATGATCATCACCCTCGTGGCTTTGTTTACAAGTTATAGTTCGTTTGCAAAAAAGCACAATGTGAATGCAAACCACACCAAACAAGCGGACCAAAGGACTTTCCTGTTGGGGTCTTGTTCATGAATGAGGGAAGAATGGAGTGGGAGATCGACAGGCAGATTGGTGCTGTATCTGCAGTGATGCAGGCGCTGTACCGGTCTGTCGTGGTGAAGCGGGAGCTGAGCCAGAAGGCGAAGATCTTGATTTACTGGTCGGTCTACGTTCCTACCCTCATCTATGGTCACAAACGTAGGGTAGTTACCGAAAGAACAAGATGCGGCTACAAGAGGCTGAAATGAGTTTCCTCCTCAGGGTGTCTGGGCTCTCACTTAGAGATAGGGTGAGAAGCTTAGTCATCYGGGAGGGACTCAGAGTAGAGCCGCTGCTCCTCCACGTCGAGAGGAGCCAGTTGAGGTGGCTTGAACATCTGGTTAGGATGCCTCCTGGACGCCTCCCTGGTGAGGTGTTCCGGGCACGTCCCACCGGGAGGAGGCCCAGAGGAAGACCCAGAACACACTGGAGGGACTATGTTTCTCAGCTGGCCGACCCCAGATAAGCAGAAGAAAATGGATGGATGGATGGATGGATGGATGGATGGATGGATGGAT